ATGCCATAGGTGCAGTGAATAGCTGCCCAGAAGACTTTCTGCTACAAGTGTTGGGGTAAATCATAACTGCCACAGGGGCCCGAGAATCTGACCACTCCAATTCTGCCTAAAGGGGTGGCCTGAAGGTTTGTGATTCCCCAAGAGGGTGTGGACCACCTTTGCATGAGCCCTTCTGCTCCAGCCCTGAGGGTGGAGACAAGGAAGGACCACATCAGGGTGGGGAGTGAAGAAGCATGACATTATTCTCCAGGGGCTGCGGCATCAGGGCCAGCAGAAAGGGCAGTGAATCCTCAAGCCCAGAGGCAGAGCCATCCACTGGGCTCTGGAAGGGACCTCACACTTAGCTCAGCTCTCAAGAATTCTTTTCCCCCAGTTCATTTCATTTGGGGAGCACTCCACTCCATAGGCTCCCATTTCTTAGTTGTAGAACAGAGGCCAGGCTTAAGTAGGAAATCTTGGAACAGGGTTGTTTAGTCAGAAGGAGAAAAATAAATAAAACCTCATTAAAGTCAAGAGAGAAAATGGTGCTGACCTTGTCAGGCAACCTGAGTTGGGGCCCAGGCTGGGAAGTACCACCCCACTCCTCCGACCGAGGGAAAGAGGCGGCCTGAGCTCTTGGCACGAGAGCATATAAAAGGCCTTCCTTCTCCCTTCACCCCCAGCACCAGTTGTCTCAGAGGCCTGAGGGCCACACAGCTGAGGCAGATTTTCCACATCAGCCTCCCATCCCCGACAGGCAGGAGGCAGGCAAGACAACTCAGCTGGGGTTTCTGGGAGCAGCTGTTTCCAGGGAGCTGGAAGTCGAGTCAGGCTCTGTACTAAGGAGCTGACAACAAGGCCAACTCAGTGCAAGCCTGAGATGGGGCCGAGAAGCTGGGGTGAGCCGCCCGCCTTATGGCAGGAGGGTTTGGAGTTTGGACCAGCTTCAACTACAGGTGCTAGAGTGGAGATTTCAGGCAGCCAGGCCTATTCCTCCAGGTGAGGAAACTAAGTCTAGAGTGGCATGCTAGGAAAGGCAGAGTGGGGCCAGGACCCCATTTCCTGCCTCCCAGTCCATATTCTTTTGCCCTCAACAAATAGGTGACACTTAGAGGAGGAAGAGAAGGAGGAGCAGGAAGTCAGCTTGGAGAGGACCTCTAGGCCCCAGATGGGCCCCTGCCCTGATGGTACCTGGTTCCTGCCTCCTCCTTAGCCTGCCTGTTGAGGACGGGGTTCCAGTGTCCAAGGGAGCCCCAGCTTCCTGCAGCCCCACAGTGCTGGGGCCCTTTCCTCCAGGGGGGATGGAGCCACATCCCAGAGAAGGGCAAATGTCCTTGCAGAATGTCCCAATCGGATGAGGGCATCAGAGGCGGCTCTCCTGGGCGTCTGCCTTCTTGGTGAGTGCGTCCTGCTCACACAGCTCCCTGGAGACCCCACAGGGCCTCTCAGGCTTGCCCTCCTCTGCAGAGGGGAAGCAGGCCCTGAGGCTGGCCTTCACCAACTCCTTCACGTCCACCTCCAGGCCCTTCATCCTGGCCTCGTACTCTGCTAGCGCCTCCTGTTGGAACTGTGGGGACAGTGAGGACCAACGTCTGACTCAGGAGGGGCCACCTGTCCACTCTCCCTCCCCTGGACAGTAGAGCAAGGAGATGCCCAGACTGCTCAGACCTCCCAGGAGACTGGGGTGGAAGGTGGGGGTGGTGGAACCCTTCAGGGAGTCTCTCAGGATAGGGTGTGCCAACCGAGGAGAGAAATCTGCAGAGCTGCCTTATGACCCCTTGGGAACCAGAGCCCTGACCCCCTGGTGAGGGGTGAGTGCTGCTCCCCCCACCTCCTGACTGGCCACTCCATGGAGACAGGCCCCTCTACACCCTGGAGCCAGGCCAGCTCTGCTGTGGGCCAGGGTAGTGGTCCCCATCACCTGCTTTTCCATCTCCCGGATCTGCTCCAGGCAGGCTGCCTGCTTCTCCTCCAGCTTCTCCTGGTGCCTCTCCAGGTTCTCATTCATCTGGGCGAGAGAGAGGCAGGGAATCAGGACAGCATAGGTAGGCAACCTGGGTTGGAATCCAACTACAATCCCAGTTAACCAGCTGTAAGACTTAGGACAAATTCCTTAACCACTGAGGATAATAGTACCTGTCTTGCTGGATTGTGAAGGATTATATGAGACAGTTCATGTGAAGCACCTGGCTTAGTGCCTGCACAAGGTCAGGCAGGTCTCAGGAGCTGGCAATGCCGTTTCTGTTGTTAATAACCCCAAGGAGCTTTAGGGCCATTCTCAGCAGTGCTTTCCTTCCCCTTCTGACTCCCTGGAAGTCTGACTCAGGAAGCCCCCTTGCTCACCCTTACCCACCCCCACCCCCAATCCCATCCTCCCCCAGCCCCTGTCAGCTGGCTCATATCATTTCCAGCTGGCCAGAGACAGACCTCTTTAGGCTGGTATCCCAACCTTCCCACAAAGGCCAGACCTCCAGATGGCCTAGAGACCCCCCGTCCCCTGCACTGCCTCCTCCTCCCATCCGTAGCTGCATGGGCCACTCTGGACAGGGCATCTCCTAAGGGCAAAGGAAAAGCCTGGAGCCACCCCTTCCCTGCAGGGAGAAAGGGAGAGAGAGAGTTTGAGAAGGATACAGCTCTCACATACCTGCTTGATGACCTGCACCACCTCCTGGATATGGGAGTTGTTAATCTCTCTCTTCAACCTGTTGCAGGGAACAGAGTTTCAGAGAGGGTAGGAAGCCCCTGGGAAGAGTTGGGTAAGACAAAGCCTCCACAGGGTGTGGGCAAAATGAGTACTCCATCATAGAATCATCTATGGCTGGTCTGGGAACCAGCCAGATCAGCATGGGGACCCAAAGAGGATCTGAGGAGCCACTAGGAGCCCTGGGGGCCATCTGAGGAAACAGCTTCATCACTAAAACGCACCGTCCTTAAAGGTGTGCATGCAAAAGTGCAGGTAGGAATCAGCTATGTTTCACCTCTCTCTTTGCACACTTGATTTTCTCTTAAATTCTCCTCTCTGCTCAAATAGTGTTGGCATCTGTGTTTTGGCTAAGGAGGATGTTTTCTGATCAGACGTGACAGAAGTAGAATTAACTTTCGAGGGCAGGAGGCAGGCACATCTCTGGGAAGCAAGTCAGGATCCACTTGTAGGGAGGCCCCTTCCCACTTGGAGTGGTTCCTGCTCAGCCCTGGGCCCTGCAGTTTGAGTCCTGTGCCTCTCCTCTAGGGCTCACCTCTCCTGAGCCATCTTGTCTGTGGTGACCTTGATCATGGCCTGTATCCGCTCCAGCCTCTTGGCCTCCAGCCTTTTCTTTACCTCTTTGGTGTCACTGCAGAGAAAGAGGCATCAGGGAGGTTTTGTGGGGCCTGAGCCCTCCTGGGAAGTTTTAGAGTCAGGCGTAGAAGGGAGGCCAGCATACATCTCCAAGGTCTCCTTGAGCGTCTTCAGCTCAGCAGCCTGTTTCTCTCTGGCCAACTCCATCATCTTGGTCATTTGCTGCGGGAGAGGAAGGACGAGCTAAGCAAGAAGCCTCTTACCATACAGAGGGTGTGGTTGGTCTGGCCGGCGCTCTTTGCCCTCCAGTC